TGACTTAGATCAGCCCAGAGGTTGTTTCAGGGTTCTATCTGTGAGTTAGCCATGCCTTGACTTAGATCAGCCCAGAGGTTGTTTCAGGGTTCTATCTGTTAGTTAGCCATGCCCTGACTTATATAAGCCCAGAGGTAGTTTCAGGGTTTGATCTGTGAGCTAGCCATGCCCTGACTTAGATCAGCCCAGAGGTTGTTTTAGGGCTTGATCTGTGAGTTATCCGTGCCTCTACAAGCCCAGTGGTTATTTCAGAGCTCAATCTGTAACTTAGCCGTGCCCTTGCCTAGATCAACCCCAAGGTTGTTTCAGGGTTTAGCTTGTGAATTAGCCATCGCCTGATAGTCAAAATTAATCACAAAGATGGGAAGATGCATGACCATTATATATTAGATTGATGGTTGTCTATCACCAATAAACCTGTCACACTGTTTGTCTCTATCAGTAGCAAAAAGAAAGCCTTGTTTCCCAAAATGACAGATAATTCAAAGTGGATTTTCATTCTGCATCAGTCTAACCTTGGTTAAAGCATCAACAGCATCTTCCATGACAGCAGCTTGTTGTACTTGTAGAATGTTTTGTGGAGAGACCAGAGGTGGCCAGTCCAGACAACCAACTTGCAATGCTCCAGTGGCCAATGATGAACTTTGATTGATGCACTCCTTTACGGCTTTGCTGTTTGAAGTCAAATTAATGGCAATCAATACCCCAAATGGGGAAGATATCAAAAAAATGAAAATTTACAAACAAGGGAGGAGGATTGGAAGAGTGAATAGATGAGAGGGAGTAAGAGAGAAATGAAAAAATGGATGCACGCATAAAAGAATATATGCGAGTGGTTAGATAGATGATTAGAAGGGATGAGAAAGATGACAGAAAACAGATAATTGAAAAGTGAATGAATTAATCCATACAAAGATCCATAAAAAGCATTCTTACATCAATTTTGCATCCTTTGGGACATTTTTGCTGCCAGTACTTGTAGAAGCACTGTACAATACCCCAGCTTGAACAAGACAAATCTCAGCAGCCCTTTGTATTTTACCAACATCCCAAAGAGGGTTGAATGTCATCTCTGTTTCCTGGGCATGTAGTGACCATGATGACTTCTTGGCATTGTCTGCCATGGCATTCAAACAGTTTCCAGGAATGAGTCGTAGATGGCTCTGTGTTGCTGTGAAGTTACCTTCTTCAAACTTGCTCAAAGCTCTGTTGAAAGAATTAAATCACATCTTAAAAACCATACAGGTAGAGAAAACTTGTTCCCATTATCATGATCCATGCCATCATCATCATCGCCATCATCATCATATATCACCATTATAATAATCATATTCATTACCATCATCGTCATTATCATCACTACCACCACCATAATCATCAACATTACCATCATCAACACTATATAATCATCACCACCCACCATTAGACATCATCACCATCATCATCATCCTCATCATCTATCACAATCACCATCACCATCACCTATCACCATCATCACCACTACCACCACCATCATCAACATCATCATCATCATCACTCATCATTATCATCATCATACTGTCATCATCTATCATCTTTATCATGATCATTACCCTCATTATCATCATACATCATCACTTTCATCATCATCACTTTCATCATCATCATCATCTGCCTAACCTGATATAGTTCATGTCCTGGTTCAACTGCATGGCATGCTGTAGGTCTGTTTCCTTGATGTTTTTCCTGGAACTACTGATTTCTGTCTGCCATTTTTCAACCTCATCCCAGTCAGACAACTTGACATAACAGTTGGCAACCTAGCAATCAAACACATCATTTTAATGACCACACCCAGATTGAGGACAAACCCTTCCCTCCTTCCCTGCACCTATTGTGAGGGATTAGTTTCTGAAAAGCTTTGCCTTTACCCTTACCTAAGCCATTTTGTCTATTACCCTATTTTGTCAAGAAAGCCATTATTGGTTGGAAGACATTGCCTACAGTTTTAAGTCCTTATCTGTAAAGACTTGAAGGTCTAAACGTTTCCAGATGTAATGACAAAGTCAGAATCTTCTCCTCAGTTATTTTAAGACTCTGGTTGTTGGTCTGGCCAAGGCTTGAACTACGACCTCCCCAACAACAGACAGATTATTTTATCCCCCCTTGAGCTAACCAGGTCAGGTCATTATGATCGCAAATCACAAAGATTAAAGTATCTTACATTTAATTCTCCTTACCTCACTGACAAGCAATTCTACAGTAGTTGGTGATAATACATCTGTATTTTTAGTCTTGCTATCTTCTCCTGTACCAGAAGTATCTGACATGTAGTTACGTAATGATGTTTTGTACGCTTCTGCTGCACTTTCATACCTTGAAAACCAAACAATTATTATTTACCCCAATATTTATTAACTATATAAAATTGGTGAGCAGACTTTCAAGACACTTTTTTTTACTTTTGCAATGTCCTTAATTGAAATAAATGAAATAAAAACATAAATAAAAAATAACCATTTTTTTTATTAATTAAGAAAAAAAAGAACTTCAGATTTAACAATTTATGTATTCATTATTGAAGTTTTGAATTAGAGATACATACCATCCTTTGGCTTTCAGTATAATACCATTAATCCATGGCATTTCTTGTTCAGTGTTCTTAGCACACCAGGCTTTCAAGCCAGTAATAGCTTGGGGACTTTTTACTTCACAAAGAGCTTTACACAAAAGTAATACTGTCTGTTCAAATTCAGGACCCTATCAGACCAACAGAACAACAATCAGAGCAAATCTAAGGGAGGGGAGGGACAGACAAAAAATGTTACCTTCAGTTTTCCAGAAGCTTTCATTTCCTGCAGCATCTGCATGCCATGCCAGACAGCAATGGCTGGTGAGCCACATCGCAGACTCACTTCAATTGCAGGTAGTCTAATCCTGGACAACCATTCCTGGCAGGTGCTGCGATTTGTCCTAAAGAACACTCGCACAGACTAAAACAAGACATGAAGAAAAACATATTTAATGAGTTTGAAGATCAAGTTGCATCCTGGACTAGCGTGGGTACACACAACACCATATAATGAAAGATTAGCTACAGATGCTTGTACCCCAACTACACCACAATGCCCCATGTTTTAAATTTCAGAAAAATACTTGTGGCAATTTCAAAGGTTGAGTTAGTTATTTATTTAGGTGAATGATGGCAAGTAATATGTGTCAAATACCTTGGGAGGTGACGGCATTCCTACTGTGCAACCATCATATGCATTGTACATCAGTTTCTCAAGGTTTTCCACAAATTGGAGCAGCAAAGTTGTTCTTAGTTGACTCATGTATGCCTTAGGGAAGGTTGCTGTTGGGGTGAATGACATAAATTATTAAATATCATCATCACTATCAATGTCATTATCATCACCATCAGTGTCATCATCATCGCCAGTCAATGTCATCATCACTGCCATCAGTGTCATCATCATCACCAGTGTCATCATGATCATCACTGCCATTATTGTCATCATCATCAGTTTCATCATCACTGCCATCAGTGTGATCATCATCACCAGTATCATCATGATCATCACTGCCATCAGTGTGATCATCATCACCGGTGTCATCATGATCATCACTGCCATCAGTGTCATCATCATCAGTGTCATCATCACTGCCATCAGTGTGATCATCATCACCAGTGTTATCATCATCATCACTGCCATCAGTGTGATCATCATCACCAGTGTTATCATCATC